TAATGACCCATCAAGTCAATTCTCACTTATGATTACCCTTTTGGGGGTTTTCCAGGTAGAGATTACTCAGAAGTGATTTACTATATCTTTCTTCTGGGGCTGTGCAGCTTGGTCAAGGCTACATAGGCTGGCTCTTTTCCCTGGAGGCACAGTGGAGAATCTAAGCCACTAAGCTATGCAGCCAACTAAGTAAATATAATGGCTGAGTCTAAATCAGATCAAGCAGGCTTAGATTACTTTGAGGGCTCAACTATAAATTACAGATAACACACTATCAGAAGGATAAATCATGTAAGTGTCCCAGAGACATGATTCCAGCAGAATTTTACATCTCAGAGATCAGATTTGCAAACAACCCATTTACAGCTCCAAAACCAATCACAGAAAAAATTTGGAAACTACAGGAGGTATGAAAAGTGACGGCTGAAACAATCAGATATGTACAGCACTTAAGGAATTCATTCTTCTAATAGGACACTCTTTGGCCCTAAGTAGTGCTGTATTTATGTCTATTTTATATATTTGTCTCTATCTCTGTCCCTCTGTGTCTATATAAACATACATAGAAAATATATAGCAGTGGTCTCAGAATTTAGTTAGAGGAGAGAGAGAGAGTGAGTGAGAGAGGAGTGAAGAAAGTCAGGCATAGGAATAAAGGAAAAGGAGTCTCTGATTAATGGAACTCCAATATCATAAGGTGGCAAGTAGTATAGGGCATCATCAATAGGAAGAGGGGTTGAGAGGTTCAGGACCCACCTCCTTCCTTTCTGATACCCATATCATAATCTTGGTTGATTATAACAGTTTCATTCAAGAGGTGGAAGTATGGAGTTGCACATAACTTTTTCTTCTCCTTCTGCCACATCTAAGAAGGAAAGGTCAATTCCCACCTCCTGCTGTTGTTATATACATACTAAAGAACTCTGAGAACTCAATCTTTGTTATACATTTGGGGGTGGGGGAATGTTTGAAATGTAGGCAAAGGAAGTGTGCACTCAGAGAGAGTGAGGTGCATCCAGAGGCAACCACTGCACAATGATGTATAGGAGAGGAGGTTTGTAAAATCATGTACCCAAATGGCATTAGGCCTAGGGATATGTCAGCAACTGTAGAATGTCAGCAGGGGAGCCTAAGATGGGAAGACAAAGAGAGGAACAGAAGAGTCAGTGAGATGTAAGCATATAGTTTGAAGAGATAAACAGGTGAGCAGGCAGGCAGGCAGGCAGAAATGCCTACTAGGAATCCACATAAACATTCTGCAAAGACAGCCTTTTGTAACACACGGCAGCAAACAACTGTAGCAACACAAGCAGCAAGACTGCGAATCAACCAAGAAACACTAGATGGCACTTCAGTTCATGAACACACATCTGCCCACACTTCACTGTCAAACTGATTGCACTTCTGTTATACTCTTGCCTGGGAGGTAGTCTCACTGAATTCACATGGCCTTAGTTCTGACCAGACATGCAAACAATTATATTGTAAGACTCTGATCCTCTACACACAAACCTTAATGCAAACCCACTGAACTCAATGGGGACTTACCTCGAAGTATACTGATACAGGGGGTTCCATTGTAAGGCTGCAATCCTTAACTTGCTCACCTTGGAATAAGTGCCGCTCAACTCTGTGGAATTTACTACTGAGTAGACTTGCACAGCAAGATACTTGCTTGCATATTTGTCCCAAACAAGTTCAGAACGGAAAATACATGTTGATGAGTTCGGATGAACTCAATAATTTCCACATAATCTAGTATATTATAAGGGGAGGGGATTTTATTGTTCCTCGTGCTACATAAGATCAGACTATTCCTTCCAAAGATGGCTTACTTAATTACAAGCAGTGGTTAAAACGCTGTACTGCAGCTAAAACTGTGCTCACGACCTGGGGTTCAAATCCCAGGTAGCCGGCTCAAGGTTGACTCAGCCTTCCATCCTTCCGAGGTCGGTAAAATGAGTACCCAGCTTGCTGGGGGGGCAATGTGTAGCCTGTATAATTCAAAAATTGTAAACCGCCCGGAGAGTGCTTGTAGCGCTATGGGGCGGTATATAAGTCCAATAAATAAATAAATAAAGTAAATAAACTATTACAGCTATTGCCCAGCTGCCCATAAGAGTAGCATTATTGTAGCATTTCACAAGGATTCCGTTTGTGAAGAAGGCTTGTGTTTCCTGTGCACATTCCAAAAGGAAGGGTGAGTGATACCTTTATTTGACCATTTAAAAAAAAATCACAAATACAAGTCAGCTTTTGACCCTGTATAAGTCTTTGCCAGGTTATGAGGTGCTCAGCCTCACGAAGATTTGCAGAGGTTCCAAAGCTAGTTAATGTCTGTGATTTTTTTAATAGTCTAACATAGGTGACATCCATCCTTGCCTGCCTAGTTGGCAAAATGCCAAACTATGCCTGATGACCCAGGAAAGGTGCAATAAATTTGCTGCCTGCAGGAAATTCTCCAGAACCTGGCAGACATAAAACAGGGATGATGGGTTATGTCCAAGTTTTGAGAGCACAAGTTGCATCGACCTGGTTTACAGAGCACAAGGCTTATACTGTAATTCACCGATTTCCTTGTTATGACCCATGGTTTCAAGATTCACATAGTTACTTACAAAAATGAATATGGAACCAGTCATAGATTTTTTTTCCCAGTTCTCCAAGGAACAGCTCAGAATAATGGCAAATCCAAGATGGGAACTGCCCATGGTCACAGTTTGGGCCCCAAGAACACAGCCAGCAAACACAACAGGCATTACAGATAAGGGGAGCCTTCTTCCTCCTTAGAGACCTCTCCTCACACAGCAAACACAGCCAGTCAGTTGCATGGCAGTACCACCAACGTCCAGACAGCAATACAATTATTTTATGAGAGGATGCTTGGCTAAGCAGTGCCAGGACCATAAAAAGTTGAAAGAGAAACAGGCGACAAATCAAAATGTGAAACACAGAGGCAGGAAGGCTCTTACTTGATGATATCTTGCTAACAGGGTTTTTGGCGCTCTCCTGGGGTACCCATTGTACCTTAGGAGTCACTTGATCATTGGTATCAGCATTCTCAGGGACACTTGGTTGCTTTCCTAAAAGAAAAAAGAAAAACAGGTTAAAAAGCATGCAGGGCACAACAAGGAATCAAAGAGTTTCAGGACAGAGACACACCCCTCATTACAGTCCTCAGTTTTGGGTGACATGGTTTGAACCGCTTTGAAGAAAACGCAAAAAGAGTGCAGATTTATTGTGGCACAATCTTCCTTGAAAGCAATATCCTTAGAGGCACCCCACAATCTATGCTTTCAGTTAAGCATCTAAGCTCTTAGGACTACTGGAATTCATTACCTTGTGCTTAAGTTCTGGCTGCTACCCTATCTAATTGAGAGCAGGTTCCACCTTGACTCCTGCTCTTAGTGAGCCCAAACAGTGTCCAGAGTTACTTTTTCTTTTCCACCCACCCCATCTCTTTTCTCTAAGATCTAGAGATACTCAACCCAGCTGCCCATGGATAGCCCAACTTTGATTCCCCTTTTATGTGTCACGGAGCTTCATGAAATCAGCAACTTGCACCCCTGGAAGTTGGGGTAGCAGTTTCCAATCCTGGCAATATCTCTGTTCATAGCTGATTGTTGTGTATATATATATATATTGCATCTGAAGAGTGGCCATGATGCTCACCACTTGCCAGACTGCGGGAACAGGGGCCTGCAATATCCCACCTAGCCTATGTTCTGATATAAGAACATACGGCACTTGCTGAGCCAGCCAAAAGCACTCTCTGGTTGAGCTCTCTCTTCACAGAGTGGCAGTCAGATGCTTATGGGAAGCACATAAGCAAGCTATAAATGCAACTGCACCCTCCTGCCCATTCTCTTCACTGACCCATACACCTCCCTGGGGTACTATTGCTGATACCTAGCCATCCATACTAATAGCTTTATCTCTATGGGTTTATCCAGTTCCTTTTTAAAGCTGTTCAAGTAGGCAGCCATGTCTACTTCTGTGGGTATTATTATTATTATTATTTAAAGTATTTTTATCCCACCTTTCTCCTCAAAAAGAACCCAAAGAAGCTTATATAATTAAAAACTCAATATTTAACAAGTAAAAAAAGTAGCTATGGAAATATTAAAAAAGAATTAAACAAGTATTACATTAAAAACAGTAATAAAATCAATGCTGAAACATTTAAAACAACAGAGCACAACAATCCATTTAAAAAACCCTCTCACACCACCAGTTATAAAGCGAAAGCTTGCCTGAAGAGAAAGGTCTTTGTAGGGCCAACCTAGCTTCCTGTGGGAGGGAGTTCCAGAGTCTGGAGCAGCAACACAGAAGGCCCTCTCCCATGTTCCCACCAGGTGCACCTGTGAGGGTGATGGGACTGACAGAAAGGCCTCCCCTAATGCATGAATTTGACCCAACTCCGGGAGGCAGTGGAAGACAGGAGGGCCTGGCATGCTCTGGTCCATGGGGTCACAAAGAGTCGGACACAACTAAACGACTGAACAACGAAATGAATGATCTTAATACCCAGGCAGGCTTGTAGATGCAGTCTTTTAGACAGCTTGGACCCAAGCTGTTTAGGGCTTTATAGGTTAAGACCAGTGCTTTGAATTGTACCCGGAAACAGATCAGCAGCCTGTGGACCTACTGTAACAGGGGGTTCACATGATGTCTGTAACCAGCCCCAGTCAGCAATCTGCCTGCAGCATTTTGGACCCTCTGCAGTTTCTGAACACTTTCTAAAGGCATATTACAGTAATCCAGTTGAAATGTAGAGTAGAGCATATTACAGTAATCCAGTTGAAATGTCACTTAAAATAAGCGTTTAATTGCATGTGGTTGTACATAAAGTATTGCCTTTAATTTTCTGCTCTAAATCTCTCGCCATTCAGCTTCATTCAATGATCCCAGCTTCCAATATTAGATGAGTGGAAGAAAAGCTTCATAATGACATGAAGCCATGTCTAATCCATGCACATTCATGCCACAATAAATCAGCTACTCCATAAAGATGTCACAGACTCTTTTTGCATTTGCTGTGTAACGAAAGAACAGGGCTGGCTAGCTACCCCTTCACTTAATGGTTTCCCACAGGGCACAGCTGACCTCACAGTGAATGAATCTTTATGTATCCTGTCAATAACGGTGACAGCAAAATAAGAACTACTGTACTTCAAAAGATTCCAGATATACTGACGGAAAAACACTACCATTTGTTTTTTGTAGAGAGCTAAAGGCATACATTCTCCTCTAAAAGCACATTCAGATTGCCAAGACCTGTGGTAGAACACAGGGAATAAACTTGCAAAAACATAGGAAGCTACCTTATCCTGAGTCCACCTAGCTTAGTATTACCAACTCTGGCTGGTAGCAAAAGCTCTCTAGGAATTCAGGTGGGATTCTTCCCTAGCTCTACCTGGAGATCCTTGGTGTTGTCTAATGGTCTCCCACCAGGAAGACCTGGTCCATGGTGATGCAAAGTAATCCTGAAATCAGACAAAACTAAATTTGGTCAAGGTGGTATGAAACCATTCTTTTACAGCCTGGAAGTACCAGAGTTTGAAAAACATTACCTTTTTTGGGAACACACCTGCCAGAATCTCCCAGCCAGTACGGATTCTGGGAGTTAGACTCAAAAGGTACCCTTTCCAAGGGCTTCATTAAATCAGAGAGTGCACAAATAAACCAGTGAACTGGAAAACTAGTGTGTTGCACTGAACAGTTCATTCGAATAATTGTTATCTCAATCAGCCCTTGACTATGACATCTTCACTAGTCCTGTGGCACCCATTCCTCTTAGCAGCCATACGTTCCCCAGTTCTGTCTATCACAACTCCTTAGGATCCTTTTCTATACATCTGTATTGCATACACAGCAGAAACACAACCCACATAAACAAACCCATTTGCAAGCAAAGCACCATGTCCTTCATGCATATCCATTGCCCATGATGAGGTCAAGGTTGGTTGGTTTGTTTAAATGCAGCTGCCATTTAATTCATATTGCACATGTGCACACGTTGTTATTTCAGTGCTTCATGCAGCTGCTGCTCCTCTCACCTGGGCATGCTGCCATTTTGCAGACTTGGATTGTCTCTGGCTTGTCGCCCTCACATTGTCCAATGCTGTTGTCACTGGACTTGCAGACCACCTGGCGCTGCTGGATGCCTTCTCCGCAGCTGGCGGAGCACTGCCACAGAGAGAAAAGCAGGGAGAAGAGATCAGTTCCCTGGGATGAGACTAATACAATGCATTTCTGTGTGATACCATGAGAAATGAGGCAACTCTGACTGGTTTAGTGAGGAGCGTTCCTAGAGGTACACATGACTGGAACTGTGCCAAAAGCTATTTTTCACATGGTTCTTCTGGGTGGTTTAGTGAGGAGCGTTCCTAGGGATACACATGACTGGAACAATCTGTGGCAAAAGCTATTTTTCACATGGTTCTTCTGGCTGGATTCATGCATCCACAGCAAAGGTTATTTTCATCAATGGATGGTAATAACTCCATGCACCGCATATCTTCTTCTTTCCAGGAGAAGATCATTCGTTAAAACCAAATATTAAAGTGGCATTTCTAGATGAGTAGCAATATGCTTTCATTCAATGCACACTCATATGTAATTCTTCCCCCTCCCCACAGCAGAACATGTTTGCTTAAACACATCAGGGACATGTTGAGAGTCAACCCTCACATCCATGTCAATGATAAACATTTGACTTATCTTTTAACAGTAATGTGCATAACTTGCCAGCTGTTTTTGCGAACATGGCTGTTGTCAAACTACTCTTAAGGGATATAATGACTGTAGAATATCCTTGTTCTGAAACAGTTATACAAAAAACTTCGGGGGGGGGGCTGTTGGTAAAACCAGTGAATCCAGACGCTAAACTTGCTTGGATGCATCACAATTAAAAATTCTGACAAGATCTTGTGAGTAGTTCACAAATTAAAAAGGCCAGCTTGGAATCATAAGCCATTTTTGACAAGTGGCAAATTAATCTTTGAAATATCATTCTGAAGTGATAATTTATCCCAGTGGATGTTGGCACTGTTAGATTTTATTTTATTTTATTTTGTTCTTTAAAAGATAATTGTTTTAATACAATAAATCCTTTAGAATCATTCCAATTTTTTAAAGTAATTATTTGATTTATTCCTAGTTTCTGTTTCCAAAGAATGGCACTCAAGGCTAAGGAATTCACATTTTTGGTTATTTTTTTAAAAAAACATTTTTAAAAATCAACCTGCGAGGCAATATTGCTGTGCACTTTCTGCATTTTGTATGAAAAAACTGCTATACAAAACACAAAACCTTGCATTTTGTGCAGAAAAGCTTGTATCTTTAGCAAGAAGCCTAGTTTTTATGACACAACACAAGTTGTTAAGGAACACAACATAGGTTTTTATGGATGCTGATGCTGATAAAGGGCTGGTCTTTTTTTTTCTTAAGTAGGAGTGAAAAATCTCACAGCAGTTGCTCATTTTTTTTCCTCAATAGAGAGACACTGTATTTTGTTGTTCATGATCACCAGAAAACATGTGACTATTCATTAGATTCTTATTCAACAGTAGTAATGGAAATAATATTTGCTAAATTCCTAATTCTCCTCAGTTTAGGCTGCCTTGACATGACAAGACACTCCCATGAGAAATATGAAAGCCACACAAAATTTCTCACCCCAAGGCCAAAGGCCTCCTCTTTCCCCTGCTGTCCATCCACAGGTCTCTGCAATCTGCCTGAAATCAAATGTCTTTTCCCTTTGTGAAGTAAAGCACATGCACATACATACAGAGAACAAGTGCGCAAGAACTGGCTGATTGTTAAGAGGCCAACAACTCATTCAATGCAGTGGTTCTCAACTCTTAGCCTTCCATCCAGATGTTTGGAACTTCAGCTCTGTAAAGCTCCAGCTGGAACGGCAAACACCAAGAGATTCTAAGGTTTGTAAGTCCAAAGCATCTGAAGGGCCAAAGTTTGAGAATCACTGATCTAAAGCTTTCAGTTCTTAAGTAAAGCTACAATCATCCTATTTTGGGCTATTTTTGTCAAAGAAAAAAGATAGGATTTTGCACAAAAATTGGCATTTCTGAGTATATTATTCTTATTGGTGTAAGAACTTTATTAAAAGTGCAGAAAATTCCTCACCAGTGAGAAGAAGAATGTTGCAATGCTTCCCTGTTGTCTGCAAGGATGAGGCAAGCAGATATCAACTGTATCGACTCAGGACAATTTATATTAATGCCACATATATTCTGAACTATTTAGCTAGAGAATTCCTCAAAAATCTGTAAAGTAACCGTAATTTACCTTACTGTATGGGTTTGGTCTACTGAGATTTTTTAAAAAGTAACATGATGGTCAAAGTGTGGATAGAAGTGTGATATAAGGAAGATTTTTAAAAAGATTCAGACAGTAAGCCACAACACTAGATAAGAAGACTCAAGAGCATAAGCAAAGTGCAACAATTGTCTATTAAGATACATGCATCAAAAATTACATCTGATGCAAAAAGGACTCCAGAAAAAAGACAGGCCATTATCTTGCTGTCATCAGTAGTGGGGGATGTCAAATCTAGCAGCTCAGTGATCTGCTCCAGAAATGAGAACTACAGTGGAACTCTCCATCCGTGGCATCAATGTCCACAGTATCACTTATTCACATCTTGAAAATATTAAATAAATAAACCCAGAAATACATATTTCCAAGATGCATTACCAGAAATGGCCACTAAATGGAGCCAGAGACTGTGTTCTCTCTATGTGAGTTCACTATTATCTACTGTTTCTGGAATCTGCGGGGGGTGTGTGTGCCTTGAAATCAAACTTGCATGGATACTGCGGTCCTACTGTAGTTAAATGTAATTTTACTTTACTTTGGGAGCCATGGCAACTACTTCAAGGTGGCCTTGGTAAAGTAGCCATGCGGCAGTGCTCTCTTACCTGGGACCAGGCACCTGTCCTCCACTGGGCAGGACATGGGATACGGCTGCAGGGCCGACGAATGTCTGGCTTGTCTCCAGTGCAGTACTTTGTGTGCACTGTCCGGTTTGTGCCATTGTGTAGGTGCTGGATGCACTGTACCACCCTGATTTGGAATCCCAGCTTACCACAGGACTTGCTGCAGGCTCCCCATTCCTCAGCTCCCCAGCTACGAAGAGAACAAAAAGAGAACTGTTCTTGACATACTCACTGGACTAGTTCCTACTGAACAGCTAAATTTGCATTGGGACAGTTCTATTTCAGAGTAAAACTGGAAGAAATATGTGATTTTTTATTTTTTTATTTTTAGAGATGTTCTGAAAGCCGTGAAAAACATCTGTAATCAAAGATGGCTCCCCTTAACCATATATATGTTAATTAGAGTGCTTTGTTGTGTAATCATTGGAAGGTAAACATGGAGTCTGATTGCTGAGGCATGTCAGTTTAAGAAATTCCATGGTTGAGAGGAAAATAATTAACCAAAGGAAATATTAATTCCCTGTAATGTTTAGATTGATCTCCAGACTGCGGTTTGTAGGCTCACATGCTCCATACAATAAATTCCAAGGAAATTAGTCAGGGACACATATGGTACCCAACTGTCTCCATGATATACCAGTTTTCTATGGGCATATCTTTGTTGTTGTTTTCTGCCGAGCTTCATTTGGTTTCAGCAAAACAGGTTACACAAACTAAACCACTAACCAGCCAGTTCATGTTTTTTGGAAGAAGAACTCACTGCTCTTGCGGCTTCTGAATATATATTGTGCCAGCGTATAATAAGATTTCACCTTACAAGGTTATTTGGGATGCATAAAGCTGTGGAGGAAAGGACATGCTCTTCCAAGTGGTGCAAGACGAAAATGCAAGAACCTAGGGTTCAAACTCCACATATCTGGCTCATTTGCATATTTCACAGAATTACGTTTCATGAGTTACAATGTTTTATTGTTAACTGCTGCATGAGAGTAAGATGGATCACTTGCGTCTTTGTGCTGGCATACTTAATCTGTAGGTTGAGTTCACCACAACTGGAAGTGACCTCTAGAGCACAAGGGTCACGTAATTAGACACCAACCAGGTAAACAAGGGAAGGATGAGAGGTTTTTGTTTTTTTGTTTTTTAAGTTTTCTTGCTGATTAGAATAGAAGATATTGGGTTGAGCTAAACATTTGTTAGTACTAGCTTGATTTGCTCTGTTCTGAAATTGTGTCTGGGTTGGCAACCCCTATTGCCTCACAGCCCAAGAGTCACCTCTGGAAGATTGCTTTTTTCTAAGGCATACCATGGTTGCTTCAGCTTTGCTGATGTATCTCCTGAAATTGTCTTTGACAGGAAACTTGCAAGCTGTTAAGATTTGTGCTCCCAATTGTGTGCACTTGCTATCATCTTCTGGTATAAGAGCCTGTTGCTACCCCTTTGCAAGACTAGTAAGTAAGGATTAAGAATTCAGAGCTTTCTTACGTAGCTAGACTTTGGGACAAAGTCTTGTGTCTCGGGTTACTGTGGTGTGTGTCTTAAGGGAAGACAGATACTCAGATACCAATGTTGCTCAACAAAAAATCTAAATAATAGCATAGCCCCACACATTGAACCTGGCTGGCTGTGGACCCGAGTTATATCTGAATTCATGTACACATGAAGTATTATTGATCTGACAGACTGCTAATTCATTGGGAATTGATAATCAGTAGAAAGGACTGTGCCATTTTTCTTTGCCTTTCATATTCATAGGATTTCTTTTTCTTCCCCCTTTTGTCCCTTAAAGTTTCCTCCCTACACCTTTTTTTCTTTTTTCATCTCTTTCTTTGTACATATGCAAATGAATCCATTTGTGGTCATTTCTTATATACTTCTTGAAAACTAATAAAAAATATTCCACCATGGTGAAAAAAAGCTTACTGAGAACATTCTCTCCTCCGCCACCCAGTCAGATCTTAAAAGGATACTTGTGGTATAAAAACGCTGGAAATAAGACAGTCATCTATTGAAAACCAAACAGATGAGCCTGTGGATAAGACTTGATTTCAATCTTAAAACAAACCCTCTAGATATTAGACCACATGGGGAAAAATAGGGTGTTTAAGCTTATAAATACCTAAAAGATAAAGCAGCAGTAAGTGTTTAGTGAAACTTCCATGGCTTATTATCCTACCACTGAACAATTTGTTTCAGAAACTGCTAAAGGATGTTCTGCGGCGAATGGAGACATACTCACAGAGGCTGAGAGCATTCCTGCATATTGCACCTCCTGCGGATTGGCTTGGGTTTCTTCCCATTATCACAGAAGTTCCGATGCACCATTCGGTTATCACTCTTCCTCCGGCAACCGTACTTGGTGTACTGTATTCCTGCAACGGAACAACCACCATAAGGAAACCGGACAGATTTCTCAAGATGTAAAGTGGTCCTCCTTCAGGACAGAGACCATTCTTCTAACAGAGCTGAACAGACATTTTTGCCCAGTGCTGTGTTAGCCTTATACCCAGCATTTCTTCCACCGTATTTCACCCAGTTGCTGCTGCTGCTGCTGCAGCTTCATGGTTGGAGGTCACAGGATTTATTAGGACTTGTGTCCTAATAACTGTCTAGCAGTAAGGCGGTTCAGCACTTGTCACCATCACCTCTCATGCTCCCATGAATACAACAAATAAGGGTTTGATTTAGTGAGGCGATAGAGGTGAGTACAATTCTTCATTAAACAAGAAAAAAGCGTGAAGGGACAGCTGCATTTCCCTTTGCTCTTCTATGGCAAGCTGGCACAAAGGCAGTGCCAGTGAGGAAGCAGACAAGTGAAGGGTGTATGATTTCGTGCATGTGTTTTGTATAATGCTGGACCTGAAGCTCAAAACATGAAATTGTGGGGAATGTGAGGCTAAAGCAAAGGATGTTTCCTTCTCATCTTCAGCAAAGCAGTAGCTTGCAGTCAGAAAAGGAGTGAGAACTTTAGCGCTGAACTTGTACAATGGCTGGGAAGTGCCATAGTGCTGAACACTGCCATTGATACAAACTGCCAGTGGGACAAACAACCACCAAAAGGACAACCACGATGGCCGAAAAAAGGTGAAAATTGGTCCAAGAAACCCGCCAACAGTACAAAGTTGAGATAAGGCAAATGTCACTTGGATGCTAGGGGAAATTCTGATAAGATCAGTGCAAAACTGAGGATAAATGCTGTTGCTGGAAAAGTCCTTTGTGCAGTGTTGTTTGCTTTCAGAGCACCTGTAGACCTCGGCAGTATCAGGAGCACAGATGTGGGAGACTTCCATTAAGTGCATCAACCTCATCATTGCTTTCCAAGGTTAATGTGCAGATGGGAACGCAGTCTCCAAACCATAGACTTCTCTAAATTTTGCAGTTCTCAGCTCATAAATTAGGTACAAAGCCATGCATATGAATGAAAAGTGCATACAAAAACAGACCTTATGGGAAATTGTGCATGAAAATGGATGTTTTTGTTTGTTTATTTGTTTGTCTTAAAATAAATTTGCAGACTAGATGGAATAGACATATCATTTAATATACATGAAACTAACAAAAATCAGAAAGAGTCATCTATCTCTAATTGAGAAAACCAACAAAACAAATATATACCAAAACACTGTAGATAAAGTAGCTGTAAATTCAGATTCCTTCAGTATTTGAAGCAAACTATTTTCACTATTTTCATCAGAATAGAATTAAGAGAGGAACTCTCTGGCTCAAATAGATGTCTAACATTTCTACCCTATCTCTAGCCACTTCCCAACTATTTTTTTGTTCTACTTGCAAAATATGGCACTGCTGCTTAGTCTCATTTCCAGAAAAAACAACAAGCAAGCTTCAAAATGCAGTAAGAAACACAGTACAGGATATATGGGCTTTATCTACTAGGACTGGGGCTAATGCCTAGAAATTCAGCTTAGGTAGCTACAATACCGCTACAAATATCCCTGAAAATTCAGCTTGCTTAGCTACAGCAAAGCAGACTTAAGTCAGCAAGTTCTGACTTGGCTTTTCAAAAACTGCTGTGTTTGTTGCAATGATCTAGGCATAGCTTATTATTATTTCACTGGCTTCCACAACAGCAACTGCATCTAAAGTCTGAGTTTGTTTTATCTGAAAAAAAAATCTGTCATTTTGCAAATCTGGAACCCCTGATCGTGCCAACTATCCTGTTTCCCTGAAAATAAGACCTAACCTGAAAATAAGCCCTAGTATGATTTTTCAGGATGGCCATACTATAAGCCCTACCCCCAAAATAAGCCCAGTTAAGTGAACTCTTACCCTCCATCATCTTGCAGCAATCAGAAGAAAATGACATAACTGTTTTTGAATAAATGTGGATTGTTGTACATGAAAAAAAAATCCCCTGAAAATAAATCTTAATGTGTTTTTTTGGAGCAAAACTTAATATAAGACCCTGTCTTATTTTCAGGGAAACACGGTACAGTATTTTGTATTTTCCCTTACTGGCCGGAGCGTAAAGGTACAGGATACAATCCCAATACAGTCACAGTAATATGGCCAAAGCTGCATCTACTTCCCTGCTAATGTTGTGATGATGCCCTCCATGCTACATTAAGCCTTTGGGTATCCTGCTTGAACAGATGTGTGACCAATGGCAACACATAATCAAAGAGATGTTGTTCCCCTTAAGAACAGTAGCTCATAAGACTGGACTGTAAAGGTGTGGCAGCAGGTGGCAGAATGTTACACGGTTCAAGAAGAAAGGCTCAGGATGCAGGCATTGTGATACGTGCCTCTGAAGCTGCTCCAATTTTTAAACCATAATGCCATTCCATTTAAAAGAGGTTGATTTTGATTTGAAACAAGCTGTTCGAAGAACAGAACCTGCACATTCACTCTTGTGGGTGTTCATGTCAAGTGTTTTAATGCAAGGGAGCTGAAACCAAAATACTCTGGAAGAAAACAGCAACAGAGTAATTGGCAAAGGCAATCTCATTTCCCCCAAGAATCCCAACCCAAATTCCAAAGGGATGGCATCACACTCACACACACACACACACACACTCCTCCCTAGATATACTGAATGCAAAATTCAGGATGGCAGACAGATGGGAGTGAGCTCTCTTCCTCACATTGCTGAATATATACTGCTTTCCAACACATTCACTTGCAAGCCATCATGTACTGAGCAACTGAATGGTACAAAAATTGACATACGATACAGCTTTATGCCATATCAGTTCAAGGCCACTTACTGACTTAGGCAGAGGAACTGCCAGTCCCACCCCACCCCCCACTTTATTATCAAAACTGCTCCATACTCACCTTGTCTGTCCACTGCCCGCCGCCACAACACTCCTTTCTGTCCATTCACTTTCCTCCATTTCACTTTGCCCCGTGTATCCCCTTCCCTCCTTACCTCACTAGCACTGCCTGCCTGCTGTGGAATGCCAAAGTCACAAATGCATATCACTGAGGATGGCAGAAACAGGCTCAAACCCTGTGGGGTGGGTGCCCTTGGAGACTGCAGGTCACACAAGGCCACCTAGTCCCAAGGCTGCTAACACACAACACCTGGCCCTCAGAGACAAGCATCCGTCAGTCACCCGGGCAGCTCCAGGGAATGAGCAGGGGCCTTCCTGGGCAAAGAGGGGACCTGGTGTTTTGCCTCCTGAAGGAGATGCCTCATCCCACGTGAAGAACAAGCTCTGGGTTTACACACATAGAACACATAGGAAGTGCTTCTGAAACCTACAAAAATGGGGAAAGGCAGAAATAAGGCAATACCTCCTCCACAAGCTTTTGAACATTGTGACCAGCTCTTGAGAGCCCATTCATAAGTATCCATTTCTTCAAGGAGGACGTTGTTGTTGCCAATGACCGGAAGAAGATCTTCATGTATGATGTACTTATACATCAAGCTGCTCTTGGAATCCTCTTCTTGTGGAATGGCCTGGAATCAAAAAAAAGGGGGGGAAGAGGCTGCCATGAGAGAGAATTATTCTGCCTCTTTTTTATACAAATCTAGACAAATCGACAGATATGCACAAAATCTACCAGGTCGTTGCTCTGTCCAACAGATCCAGCCTCTAAAGACCCCCCCACCCAAAAAAAAGGCTTTTAAAAGAAGCTTCTCTAAGACACTGTATTTCAAAACAAACCAATTTCCATTTCAAACATCTGGAAAAATTCAAACGGGATATAGGGGTGGCCCAGGGAATAGAAAGGGAAAGAAGTAGAATAGCTGAGTTCCAACATCAGCCTTAGATTCCAGGGGTGTGCTTGATGATGATGATGATGATGATGATGATGATGATGATGATGATGATGATGATGATGATGATTACTGTTGTTGTTTTGTTCTTTTGTTGTTTGTTTATTTATTTGTTTGTTTGTTTGTTTGCTGCCCCATTAGTGCTAAAGTACTATTCTGAGCAGATTAATAGCAGATTAAAATCAGTACCAAAAAACAAACATTTAAAAATACATTATAAAAACCTGATTGCACCAAAACAATTTACAAAAGCAGCATGACAGGAGATGAACAAAACATCAACCCAGGTCAATATGAAAGGCCTCCCTAAAAAGAAAGGTCTTAAGTTTTCTTCTAAATGTCAAGAAGCAGGGAGCCAGGCATAGCTCCTCCCGAAGCTGATTCCATAGGGTTGGGGTCACTCTGGTGAAGGCCCTGCCTCTAGTGGAGGACTTTCAAGCCTTCCTCGAGGTTGCCACTCAGAGACGTCTGGTCTGGGAGGATCTGGTAGGCTGAGCAGATGACATTGGGGTCAGGCACTCTGACAAATAATGTGATTCTAAACTGTGGAACACTTTGTATGTCAGAGACAAAACCTTGAATCTGATCCAGGGTGTGATGCATAACCAGCTCAGGCAAGCCAGAAGTGGAGTGATATGGTCAAACTTGCTCACACCAGTCACCAATCTGGCTGCCGCATTCTGGACCTGCTGCAATCTCCGGGTGAGGTTCAAGGGGAGTCCTACATAGAGATCATTGCAAGAGTCAATCCGAGAGGTAACCAGTGCTTGCACCAGTGTCCTGAGAGAAAACTCATCAAGATAAGGGCGGAGGTGGGTGATAGGCCGATCTGGACACAGCTGAGATCTGGGAGTCCCAAGAAAGAGCCGGGTCCAGAAGAATGCCTAGATTACATACTTGATCCCTAAATGGGAGGGCAAAACCATCCAATCTAGGGTTTAATCCAACCAACCTGTTTCAGCTCCCTCTCACCCCAGAACAAAATCTTAGTCTTGTCTGGGTTCAGTTTGAGCTTGTTAGTCCTGGTCCATTCCAGTACTGAAGCCAGCCAGTGCTTGGGTGTCTCGACAGCATCCACTGCACAGGTGGAAAAGGAGAGACAGAGTTGCATGTCATCAGCATACTGATGACACCTTACTCCAAATCTCCTGATGACGTCCGCTAGTGGCATAACATAGATGGTAAATAGCATTGGAGATATTGATGACCCCTGCAGCACCCCACAACTGAATATCCAAGGGGCAAACAAATCATCCCTAAGCTGAACTCTGGATATGGTCCCTGAGAAAGGACCAAAGCCAGCTCAGTGCCAGCCCCCCGATCCCAACTGTGTTTCTCAAATGCAGCAAAAACAGCTAAATATCTGATGGCACCTTAAAAACTACAATATTTTATTTGGCAAAAGTATTCATCAGGTGCAGCAGATGAAATAAGAGACAATTCACAAAAGCTTATGCCAAATTAGTCTTTGAGCTCAACTTAAGGCTAGACTGAGCCTAACAATTCCATCTTAACTTTAGCTTATTTCAAACAGAAGTTATGAAACCAGCTTTCTTACTTTGCACTGATTTTGCATGCAATAATGAGAGCACGAAGTGCTCTTAAGTAGTATAAACCAGCAAAGGGATTAAGGTACAAAATATTGCTAACTCTCTATTTCTGCAATTGAGCCAACAGATCTTTCTCATGACTCACCAGAACACTGATGGCTTCATGCAGGGGCCCACTGGTTTTCAAGCTTTCCTTCCCATTTTCAACAGTGTACTCCCATTCCAAGCCCATCGCCAGGAAGGTGTTTCCCTTGACATCTTTGCCCTTTGGGTTAAAAATGAAGTTGCCAGAGGCTTGGTTCTTAACAGCTGGGGAAAGAAGTTGTTAGGGTGAAATCTTCTCAGCAACATAGATTACATCCAGCAGGAAAAAGTGACAGAGAATCGGACGTCAAAAAGGCAAGTCCACCTACATAGGGAGTATTTTAGCTTCTTAACTTCAGTCTGATAACTGACCCATCAGCTTCTCGGGTCAAAAAGACACATAGGACACTGACTGTTGTTGTTGTTTAGTCATTTAGTCGTGTCCGCCTCTTCATGACCCCATAGACCAGAGCACGGCAGGCCCTCCTATCTTCCACTGCCTCCCGGAGTTGGGTCAAGTCATGTTGGTAGCTTCGATGACACTGTCCAACCATCTCATCCTCTGTCGTCCCCTTCTCCTCTTGCTTTCACACTTTCCTAACATCAGGGGCTGATAGGACACTGATAGGACCTATCAAACACTGACAAACATTTTTGAATAATGTAATAATACTAATCTTTAAACAATGAATATTGGCAATACATTTGGCTCTCTTCTTCATTAAACGCAGTTTCATCTAGTCCATTCCCCTCATGTCCAAGTGCCTTCTGGTTTAGATTGCAATGCCCTTTTCATTTCCTTTACACTGTTTGTTTGTCTTATTTGCTGCACTAACATACCAAGTCTTGTTTGGTATTTCAAGTCATCATCTAAATGAATAGAACTCTTGAGAAGAAGCGCACACACCCATGCTTTCACATTACCCTTGTCCAATACCACAAGAATATACTTTACAGTGCCAGAACACAACATTTTGTAAAGTAAAAAGAAAGGCAACTTGTAACTAAACCGCCCCGCACAACAATATAGACTATAAAATGTCTACAGTAGGACTAGCAACTTGAAGTCATCCAGACATTGCTGGACCACAAATCTCATCATCCCTCTCCATTGGTCAGGCCACCTGGGACTAATGGAAGTCGCCATCCAGGTTGCCCACTCCTGTTCTACTATCCATAGTGCTACATGTTACTGAGCTTTATTATCACATGATCAAGTTTAGATTAAATCATTCTGATTTATTTTAGTAATTGTAGTCAAGAACATTTTTGGTTTATCAGAACCATTCCCAACTTCTATGCCTGGAATTCCCTCTCACTGAACCTAGGTGATGGCAATTCTCTCCTTATTGCTTCAGACACTTTTTCTATGAAACTTTTGACTTAATCCCATAGTCTCCACTCTGGTCTAAAGCTATACTGGGGGGCGGGGGGCGCGCGGCGGCACCTGTGTAATTGCATTTGTGCAAATCAACCCCTGGATACTCCAGTCTCCTGCCTTCTTCCCTCCTTCTGTTGACTGGTCTGCCATTAACATTTACTGCTGTGAATGCCTAATCTGCACAAGAACCTGTCTCTTTCTTTGCTTGTACATCTATAAACTGCCATGAATATGGCAATTTATGATAGAGCAGAAATAATATATAGTAACTCAAAACAAGCTCTGCAATAATGCAACAATTTCCAACACAGTATCCAGGGGAAAAGGGACGTGGTGGCGCTGCGGGCTAAACCGCAGAAGCCTGTGCTGCAGGGTCAGAAGACCAAGCAGTCGTAAGATCGAATCCACGCGATGGAGTGAGCGCCCGTCGCTTGTCCCAGCTCCCGCCAACCTAGCGGTTCGAAAGCTTGCAAATGCAAGTAGATAAATAGGGACCACCTCGGTGGGAAGGTAACAGCGTTCCGTGTCTAAGTAGCACTGGCCATGTGACCACGGAAGATTGTCTTCGGACAAACACTGGCTCTATGGCTTGGAAATGGGGATGAGCACCGCCCCCTAGAGTCGAACACGACTGGACAAAAATTGTCAAGGGGAACCTTTACCTTTATCCAGGGGAAAAACCTAATGGATTACTTTTTAATTTGTAAAGTTTTATAGCCTAATATTTTGAGCTCAGTGCAAATTAATTCATTGTTAGGGGTTACTCCTATGCAGCATTTCTCTATGCATACGTAAGCCGGCAGTGCCTATTTAAACTATGGAAAGGATGACTGAATGAAATAGCCATTGGACAACAAAGAGAAAATAAGTCTAAAAGTACTCATGTAAACTTCAATGCAATGTTAGTAATAGATGTGGGCTAATACCAGGAGAGAGGCCATTGGGAAAATAATACCATGCAATTCAGCCAAAGGGCTTTTCCAGATGGAGCACTTATTCCTCCCTCCTTTTTACTGACTGGTAGCATTTGTTGCCAAAGAAGCACAGATATCAGCAGGGCTTCTATCCATACTCATTATTACAATATCACTTCTTTTCTATTTTTAGAAATCAGCATCTCCTCAAAAATGGTTCAGGTGTATTACAAAAAGCTGGAAGAACCCCTTTCAGAGAGAGGAATGGAGAACCAAGATCTTGTTTACTTGAGGGGTGGCTTGGCTTGGGGAAAAGGGGAAACACAGGAAGGCTTAGTGGCCTAAGTAGCCTCTAAGAGATGCTCATAGGGCAAAGCTCTTTTGTTTTAAGGGATCCCAAAGCAGCAGCATGGAGACTTGGAGCTCCAAAGTATTGTTTGTTTTGTTTATCTTCTAGATAAGTCACTGAATTCTGCTTTCCTTTTCTTACAGCCAGAAAGTAAAGCAAAGCTCTATGTCTAGAACCGCTAAGCTGTTTGCATTTTTGTGGGAACTTTTCTCCTAGGGTCTCCATTACAGACTGTTTATACACTGTTAATATTGGAAGCTCAGTAGCTAGTCACTCCATTTTGTGTTGGGTTTTTTTAATGTGTATTGTTTGTTTCCAGTAGATTAGCACTAAACATGGGAGTGTTTGATGCAACTGGCATTTCTTACTTGCACTTTGTCGTGATACAAACAAAGGAAAACACCCCAACAGAAGGCAGTTTGGGGACGGGGGGAGGGAAGGAAGGTTAGAGTGTCGGCACTGTTGGTACTGGCATCATTTGGAGGACAAGGAAAATATTGATATTATTGGCATACGATCAGGTACATATAATGGAACAAATACTTTGTTTGGATGCACCCAAAATTAAGTTAAACACTTCATCATCTCACTGAATTCATTGTGAGAGATAACTATCTTCCTTTCCTACCTCATTAAGAACAGGAGAACTTTAAAGTGCTTGATATTGGCTAGACTGAATTTGCAACAAGCTCTTTTTGAGGATTAGACTGTTAAAATCCCTCTTCAAACAAACACTACAAGGCAAGATTGACTCTTAGTCCACCTATGACCATATCTGGCTCTTACCAATTGTATGGGGCGAAGGCTCCATCTCTTCAATCTGCACATGCCTGGCGCCAGCTGGAATCTCAAACATTTTCAAAGCACCCACTGGAAATTGCAAAGAAAAGAGGCCATTCTTGAAACAGGCAGTGCTGGAGTCAGAAACAAGTTCCATGAAACACTCCTCTTAGATTCTAAAGCAGCAGGGATCTTCACTGAGAAAATAACTATTTTTTTAAAAAATGGTTCTCCTCCTACAGCTACCAAAAACATTCCTCCTGCTACAGCTACCAAACATGTTTAGTTAAACAAGTGTTTAGGAACACCTTAGGCACAAACCACAATGAGATGCATGGAGATGTTTCCTTTTCACTGCGTAACACAATCCAGATCATGGATACAGTAAGTCCCTGAAATGCTTTCCTGAGCTTCCAAGCTAGGGGACAATTATAATGATGCCTTTGTGTGCAGAGGCTTAAATCCAATTGCCAGTCCCACCCAGATGAAACACTTTGAATCAAGTACTGGACAGTAATTCAACACCTGGGTAAATTTCATTGGTTCAAACAGTCTACTCTAGTGGGGATCAGCAGCTGGATTTAGGCCAAACATACCTTCATATAAGAAAACATATTCATTTTTCAGCTAGTCAGAACCTGAAAGGAAAACATGCTCATGTGCACAAGCAATCCCATCTGTTATCAGTGTGCTTGAAGACAAGCAAGTAGCTCTTCCCTTTCCTTTTGTGGCTTTGTCCACATGAAGAATAATGTGTCTGAATAGCTGAAACCAAAGATTTTTGCTTTAAGGTTCCCAGTCTTGGGTCCCAGATGATCTTGGCCTACAACTCCCAGAAATCCTGGCCAGCACAGCTGGTGATGAAGGTTTCTGGGAATTGTAGCCCAAGAACATCTGGGGACTCAAGGCTGGGAACAAGCAAACAGGACTTTCCTCTTCAGACATATCATTCCCTGTATGCAGAAAACAGTGATGGAGCAGGGAGAGGCTAGTTGCTCTTCTCTAAGTGTTTGGGTTAGAACTGTGTTGGTACTGATTGAACAGTTACTGTGTTCATTCTACATAAATACATACAGGTAAACCAGCATCATTGAAGTTTGTGTGTACACTACAGTAAGCTCACTTTAGCTCCAACACTGACAGTAAGTGTTGTCCCAAAACAGAGAGTCCTCCATAGGCATCCCTAACATATAGATTATGTTGCCATTCCCATGTTAGTAAAGCATAACATTTTGAGAGATACACAGCTATTATCAACCAACACTCTCCCCATTTCTGGCAACATCTGCCCCATATTTATCAATGTTGGATAAAAGCAATACCTGACCCAACATCATCATTTACATTTCCCAATTCTGTAAAAGTTGCAGCTAATGAACTGGAGCAAAAGCAGAGAAGTGTCAAATGTAATCCCATTACACCGTGTGATTTTCAAAGATGACCAGGCAAACATGGGGGGGGGGAGCTGGAGAAATTAGTGTTAGTGAGTATAATATAGACTGAAATCCCATTGCTCAGCTTAAAAAGATTTGTAACTTTCAATCCATTCTTACCTGAGAACAAAACAATCCCTACCACGGTTCTCAAGAGTGCACATGCATGCTCCCTTAGTGTGCGCATATGCCTCTCAAGCATCATAGAGGGGATTTTTAATTTGCTAATTTTTAATTATAGATATTTTTTGTTTATACTAAGCAACAGGGTTTCAGCCTTTGGTTAGGCCCACTGTTTTTTTGGAAACAGAAAATAAAAGTTAAATGCTATCCGTCTGTTCTTACCTGACTGTTTTGGGGATTTGACCAAAGTTCCCTTCACTGTCCGGCAATGGGAGTTATCACCTCCACAAACACCACACTTGTCATCCTGCTTCAAAGAGCCAATTTCTTTGTCACACCCAACATGCTGTCCAAATAAGAAGAAACATTTTTAAAAAGAGAAATGGGGTTAAAGGGTGCAAACATGACCACCTTATTAATACGATGTAATCTGGCAGTGATGTTGATCAACCTAGCAGTATCTTCACAGTATTCTTCTCCATATAAACAGGTAAGTCATGCATAATAACATCTATGATAGTTCAACATCTATTCCTAAAACAATTCAAATTCGAGAGGAATTCTTGCTATGATTTTTTTTTAATTTATATGCCGCCCACACTACCCAAAGGTCTCTGAGCGGCTTAAAACATTTAAAATACAATAAAAATTCAGAACAATTAAAATACAATTAAAATATATATAAACACTTCCATCGGACTCAGCTAATATTATTTCAAATAAAAGCCTTCTGGAACAGGAAGGTTTTGACCTGGTGCCGAAATGTCGTCAGTGTCGGCACCAGACAAATCTCAGTCGGGAGGGCAGCTGCCGAAAAGGCCCTTTGTCTACAAGGCCTCCCTCTTACCTACTGCTCGGTAGGTTCATATGATCGTAACATAAGCCATGCTTAATACAACCAAATGTCTTGTGAAACAACATGGCAACTGGTATTTATAGATGACAATAATATGCAATATGAAGTATGACAAGGTGGTCAAACTCAATCTGTAAACATTTTTTATTTATATTGTACTTTTTTAAAAACATTAATTATATCAATCTAAATCCAATTGCTGTCTGTAACTAAACTAGAACCAAGGAATCAATGGAATGCATGTTATTTAACTTTATCAGGTTCCCCATGATTCAATGGGCCCACTCCCAATCAGGACTAACAATTGGGTTAGGCCATAATCATACCTAAAATCTCATTAAGATCTCTATAACACTGCTAATCACTCACAGCAGAAAAGACTGGGGGTGGGGTGGGTATATATATAATTCAGTTATATATGCATGTGTGTGTGTGTGTGTGTGTATTTATGTATGTATGTAGCTGAAAGCTTCAGACAGATTTTCTAGTTGTAAGTGAATTATTTATTTATTTATTTATTTATACAATTTAGAACAATTAAAATACAATTAAAAATATATATATAAATTGCCATCGGACCCACAGCTAATATTATTTCAATTAAAAGCCTTCTGGAACAGGAAGGTTTTGACCTGGTGCCGAAATGTCATCAGCGTCGGCGCCAGACAAATCTCAGTCGGGAGAGCATTCCATAGTTTGGGGGCAGCTGCCGAAAAGGCCCTTTGTCTACAAGCCCTCCCTCTTACCTCCTTAAGGGACGGCTCTTTCAAAAGGGCCCCCTGGCTAGATCTTAACTGCCGGGTAGGTTCATATAGGGTGCTTCCACATAAAGAACTCCTAGCACTACCTATCAAAAATCACTGTGCATCTATTCTAGCTTTCCCTTAAGAATTTCTTAATGGAAGAAAGAAAAAAGAAAGGCAAAAGTAACAGAAAAACACAGAGAGGTTACAAAATGGTGGATGGTGACATCTGGACCCACTATCTCTTACATCCAGTAAAATTCTGCGAATCTGGCAAGGTGTCAACACAATAAAAGCCTGCCTGGGAGTAGCATTACTGGAACAAATACAAATTCTGCTAGACTTGTATGGTTTTAGAATAACCTGAACTGATGGAGAATAATTTCTAAAGCAGGAACATCCCATAGTAAGTAGAATTTATTAGAAGGGTTTGTCATATTTCATGATTGCCTCCAGAGCTGACTTTGAAGATCACACACCTAAACTTTTAGGTATGAAGAAGTTTAATTGCCTGCAAATTAGTGCAAAAAAAGAGGAGAGGCTGACAAGGAGTTTGGCTCAGTACTTCCCTGACCTACGGAAAACCCATGCTGACAGAAGAGAGGAAGAACATTTAAATGGGAAGGAAAGGCTGAAGCTCTTTAGAGTTTACAGAAGGTGGGTAAAGTGCAGTCTGTGGGGCACGTGCCCACCCCCTCAGCTCTTTCTTTTTCTTTGGCCTTTATTGCCTTCAGTAGTCCCAGCATTTGGCAGGCAAACTGGTAAACAAACTATTTACTTCAGTGAGGACTGCACTTGCTGCATTTGTTTCCATTACTGATTGCAAGAGGAAGCCTTTAATAAGCCTCTTCCTCAGGGTTTCTGCTCTTTACAGTTGATTCATCAAGTTCTTTGCTATTTAAATAGCCTCTATAAGTAACTTCTGCTGATGCGGTAACCAAGCTGGTTCTCAAAGCTGATTTAAATTTATTCTTTAATGAATTAAATCAAATCTTTATTCAGTTTTAATTACTCTTCAGTTAAGGCTCAGGGAATGCAATTCTGTGGCTTAGTGTAGTAAGTTCCAACTACAGCAGACCCATTGAGCCAGTGGGGTTTGGAGTGAGTGAGTCAGCTCTTTCATAGATAGGATCAACTCGGTGGGTCTGCTTTAGTTGCAACTTACTATACTAAGACACAGGAGTGAAGTCAGAGGAGTTTGCAAAGAAATGATGCAATGACATTTTGTGCAGTACAATCAGATTTAAAAATTGATAATAGTTGCTCAAGTCTAAGTGGGGCCTTTGGGGTTCTTAATACTAAGCTATTCTGTTACGATTAAAAAATTGTGTAATACAAAATGTGCAAGAAACAAATACATTAAGCTTTACTAAGTATTGCCCATCTTCTCAGGCCATACTCCCTTTGTGCTTAGCCTTTTATCGATGATAAGAATGGCCCCCAATCCCCAGTAGTTGCCCACCCCAGTTTATTATATTTGAAGAGGGGCACAGAAATTGGGTGTGTGTGTGTGTGTTATAACGTTAAAACACCGCAAAGCCCCTTGCCCGCATTACATGGGAAGGTTGTATAACCCTAATGGCCAAGCTAGCTGAGGATGATGGGTGTTATAGTCACACATTTTAACAATGCCTTGCTGCAGAAGGCTGGTTTTGTGGTTCTCTAGTTCTCCTTTTGGAAATGGCTCACACATTGACTCATCTACCGAAAAAGTCCCTCTGTTTCTCTGTGGACCCCATTTATATGCCTGGCATGTACCCCAACACTCAATGCCCTCCATGTTCTTCTACATATGCATATGTTATAGGAATACTGGTGCTTAGGGAATGGACTAAGGATGCCTTTTAGACAAGATTGTCTTCCACTAGTTATCACACTCTGAAGCCTTTGACAAGGTCTTGAGGTTCTCTGAAACTCTTCTTAAATTCATTGGTTTACTGAACCCTAAGAATTAAGAAACTGGCACTCTCTGTCTTAAAGTACTGCTTATTCACAGCACTATGACAAGACAAAATAATTATGTACCAGTGTGACTATCATAAAATCATCACTCTGTGCTGTTCTACGTTGTCATCTAAGTTTGTATCCAAGTGTATTAAGGATATTATTGGGGTGAAGACAGTGGTATCCAAACTGAATTGGATTATCACACACAAAAACAAATAAATCCGCAATCTTCCTATTATCCAGGAAGCAACAGAAATTACCCAATGTCCACTTTTCATCTGGTGACTTCAGTTCTGGTTACTAAATGGCTGGCTATAAATAATGAACTAAGCTAGAAGATATATTGCTACAACATAATTGCAGCTCTGTATGTGGTGCATACAAATTGCAGCCACAGACAAAAAGCCAGTTTGGTTGAGTGGCTTGGAGTATGGGGTTTGAGAGAGTGAGGATCAACTCATTCATTCAGTCAGTCACAAACTCTTTGGGTGGCCATCAGCAAAAAAATTCTCATAGAGATCTTTTCCCCTCTATCTGCAAAATGGCAAGAAAAAACTTCCTTCATAAAATTGTGAGAATGAACAAGAAATAATGAAATTTTGTGGTCACTCAGTTCGAAGCACACTGTCTACAAAACCACAGGAGAAACCTGCAACTATATGAGCAACTACATGAGCAACGTAAACTATACACACATACAAATACATATACGTGTGTGTGTGTGTGTACACAAATATACACCTATACACATATACATACATACACACACACACACACACACACACACACACACACACACATATACAGTGGTGCCCCGCAAGACGGACGCTCTGTTTGACGACAAAATTGGATCACGACGAACTTTTTGCGATCGCTTTTGCGATTGCAAAATGATGTTCCCTATGGGGGAATTTCGCTTTGCAACAATTGGTTCCCTGCTTCGGGAACCGATCATCGCAAAGCGATGATTTTTTAACAGCTGATTGGCGGTTTCAAAATGGCCGCTGGGTAAACAAAATGGCCACCCGCTGTGTTTTCGCACGTATTCCTCACTGCACAGGCAGCGAAAATGGCCGCGCTATGGAGGATCTTCGCTGGACTATGAGTTTGAAGCCCCTAGGAATGCATTAATCTGGTTTTAATGCGTTTCTATGGGCTTTTTAAAATCGCATCACGACATTTTCGTTCTACAGTGATTTCGCTGGAACGAATTAACGTCATGATGTGAGGCACCACTGTACATACACACAAACACACACACACACACACACACACACACACACACACACACACAAGCACAATTCAAACATACACTAAGGGAAGAAGTGGGGGAGAGTTCCCTTCTTCCTGCCTCTACAGCCTCCCCTGAGATAGTCTGGCTAAGCTGTCATATCCCTTTTCCTTCGAAAGAGCAACACTTTGAAAGGAACTTTAAACTAGGCTTCTCAGTCTCATTTGCCTAGGCTTCTGTTTAGCTCATTGGTCACAGTAACTCACACGATCTTTTGATGATTATTCAAACAAAATTGTAGGGGTTACTACAAACAATAGGATTCAATAAAAGTGTAGATAAATGAAGCTGAGGACTATGAGGGTAACGAAGGAATTAAAAAATGGTACCAAAAAGGCAGCCACTACCAGAAGAACCAAAGAATGACAAAATTTATATAACATTTTCTACAGTCTGTTTTGCTGCCTTGAATGTACTATTTTGAAAACAGTTGCTAAAATATTTAGCATAGCCCTATTTTTAAAAAAGAAAATTTCACAGGCATCTACCAAAAAAAAAAAAAAAACAACTTCAACTAACACTGTTACAAATATCCTCTACCTACTTTCTTTCTTTTGGACCCAAAAAAGTATAGAGTGAAAATGGATGAACCTAGAGGTTCGACTACATACCACACACTCCCCTCTCACACAGACACTGTACAGGTCTCTATAGCTGCATCTGGTGCCATCATGAACAACCTGATTCATAAATACCACATCCCCAGTTTCCTCAGACTGGCAAATCAGCTCACACTTCTGAGCATCTGCAATAAAACAAACAGACAGAAAAATTCCATACTATGTGCATTGAGACAAAAATGGCACTCAGCATTTTCTAATTTAGGTTTATGGGAGTCAAAGCTTTTTGTTCAATGTTTGGGTTTCTAGAGTTCATGGTTGTTAAGAATGCCTTTATGAGGTTCCAGAGTAGTCTCAACCTTCTATCAGTACCTCCCCATCTTAAACAAAATAATCACTGTTGACTCCAATGACTGGAAAACTTCAGTCATTGAAGAATAATTATGTAAACACACACAAAGATGCTTAATTTAAAAAGTCAGTTAAATGAGTTCCTATTCCATAAGCGTTCAGTAACTTAAACAGAATTTTTCAAAAAACAAACAGATCTGTTATACGCTGAAATCAGCGTATGAGTTAGGAGTGGACCTCCACCACCTTAGCTAGACCTCTGATGTCACATGCAGAGAACCTGAAAAGAATTGATTAGCCTAATTCATTCTACATGATATTAAATATTTTTGAATCTAATAAATTGACTTTAATTAAGAAACACGGGCTCTAAAAACTCATCGTGACAAATACAATACATTGCAGTGTTGAAAGAAAGATAGAGGGTAAACATGGAAAAAAACAGAAGGTGGATTTCTTGCATAAGTAACATCAGAGGCTGGCTGGATTAATCTACACAGTGAGAAATAGGTGGAGTTATGTCATGAATGGTAGCCAGCCTCAGCAATTGAGATGACACCCAGTGTGTGTGAGAGAGAAAACAAATTGACTTAAACTTAATACGTCAAGATTAAAACCATCTTTTAATGATTTAATGTTCACACATCAGCATTACTGCAAATGTTTGCAAGCTATGTGCATGCCATGTCAATCCCATCTCAAAGCATTCATTTAGATGTAGGAGGTCCATGAACAGAAAATTATATCCCCAGAGCCTCTCCTAAATATGAGAGGAACAGGAATGCATGCTATCAGGAGTGCAGCTAAAAGACACTGCCCCACTTTATTTATT